ATTAAACTTGCAACTTAAAGTTGCTCTGTTTGGAGTAAAAAAAAAATTGTTTTGAATTTTGGATTTTTTTAGGTTAACATGTTTAGAAAATTAAATCACGAATGTTGAAATAAAAATAATATCAAGAAAAATTAATGGCAAAAAAAAATTGAAGGTTAACTATTTTTAAACAATTTAGATAAAGTAGTAGACTCAAATTATGAGTCTACAAGGTTTGAGGAAAAAACAATTTGAGTCCTAAAAATACATGAATAGTTGTATTTTAAAGGGTAAAAATTTGAGTTTAGCCTCAACATCATAAGGTATTGTGTGTGAATTTTTTTTACCTTGCCAAAAATAAGACATTAGCAACCTTCAAACCAAATTTGGTTTTGGGAGGGCACTAATTCTAAAAATTTAAAGGGACCCACACACGAGCTGATATGGCGAAACACCATTGGTTCCCGGGAAATTAATACCAGAAGATCGTTTTACTCATAGAAACCCAGTGGTTAACAAACAAAAACAGATCTTCACCGTTTGGAGAGAAGCTCAGACTCCGACCAAAACTGCAATTTTTCATCTGGAGCCACCGGGGCTCGGTTTTTTTTATTTTACACAATGTCCCATATCAATTTTTCTGTAATTTTGATTTTGGGGTTAATGTCAACAATGGCGCATTCAATGCGTTTCGACCTTCAATCGGGCGCCACCAAGTGCATCTCAGACGACATAAAGAGCAATGCCATGACGGTGGGCAAGTATTCCGTCGTTAACCACAACGAGGGCTTTCCTAAACCTGATTCTCATAAGGTCACTGTCAGGGTAATTCCCAAACCATCTTTGTATGTGGGTCTGTTTCTATTTCTAAATTCATCTAAAAATATTATTTGGGTTTCCTTTATTGCCAATTCTATAATTGGGTTTTCTATTTAATCTTGTTTGGAATTGTTTTGGGATTAATGGGATAAAAGTTTTAAACTCTGTTTTTTCTTTTTATTCACAGTGAAGCCAATGTTTAGGCAAAGCATTGATTTTGGCAACAATACATCCTCTTAAAGATTTCTCTTATTGGGTTCATTGATTTATTGTAAAGGTGTGATTTTTGTGCTCGGTTTAGAGATTTGATCTGGTGGTGCTGTGGGTTTGTAACAGGTGACCTCACCTTATGGAAGTAATTATCACTATGGGGATCACGTGGAATCGGGTAATTTTGCGTTTACTGCGGCAGAGACTGGTGATTATTCAGCTTGCTTTTGGGTGTCTGATCGTAAGCCCTCGACCACGGTGACCATTGATTTTGACTGGAAAACTGGAGTGGCTGCTAAGGAATGGTCCAAGGTTGCCAAGAAAGGGCAGATTGAAGTAAGCATTCTTCTGCTTGCACAAATCTCTCTCTCTCTCTCTCTCTCTCTCTCTCTCTCTC